ATACAGACTCCGAAAAAGGCTCCAGGCTCTGAGCTGGCAGTCAGCATAGAGCCCGACGCGGGGCTCGAACCCATGAACCGCGAGATCATGACCTAAGCGAAAGTCGGACGCTTAACCGACTAAGCCACCCAGGCGCCCCTAAAGAGTAGATCTTAAATGTTCTCACCGCACACACACTCAAGTTAAGTATGTAAAGTGTTTTGATCGAAATGTTAACTAACCCTCTGTGGTAATCATTTTGCAATAAATAAGGGTATTAAATCATCATGGTAAAAAAAAATATGGAAGTTGTTTAAAACCCACACATAGAACACATAGTTCTATGACTATTTAGGACCCTAAAAAGGGTTCTCTTGGGACTACCAGGTAGGGCCACAATATGAGATAAAGTTTATATGCTACTTACTGAGGTATCATAATTTCCAGGTGGAGCAATATAAGTTACAGTTCCTCTGTTTCGTGGGGGTAACATGATTTTGTGTTTGATGAGTGAGTTCTCGTTGACAATTCCATAAATATCTCCACCAGTGATGTGACTACCAACCTAGAGAATAAAAGCATTGGCTATTTAATGTTCAAATAAACATCAAACTGTTTAATGTTTAAATAAATGCCAAGCAGATTTATCCTTGCTGCTACTACTTAAATCATTTGCTTTATGTATCAATAAAACATATTAGTTCTATAATTCTTCTAGCAGATTTAAAGAAAAATTTAAACTATACTTCTGTGGTCTATTTTTATTTGACTAAGGAGTACAAAACAGTTCATTAAACATCCATTTCATATTCTTTCACCAACGTTAGAAGTCTTGGTTATAAAGACATACCCGTAGGTTTTTGCAAGGTGTAAAATCCCATTTGACGTCTCTGCTAAGAGCAGACACATTTACTCCTCGAGGAATGTATATACTTTGGGTTTGACTGCTGATATCTGACAAAGGTCTCTGAATACCATCAAAAATAGCTCCCATGATGCCAGGCCCAAGCTCTACGGAGAGGGGTTTACCAGTGCGGAGTACAGGATCTCCAACAGACACACCAGCTATAAACAGTAGTTGAGGAAAACTCACCATGAAAGTTTAAAGACACTATAAAAAGGAAGTACCACAGTTTAACAGGAAATGATACTTAAGACGCTAAAACAGAAATTCTCAAACATTCTCAGTTTACAACATCTTTAGTGTTCCATTAACTTTTTCACAGTGACCCATGACAAAAGAATATCTAATAATTCCATTTATTAAATAGTTCTATCTACCACCTCATGCCAGTCAGAGTGGCTAAAATGAGCAAATCAGAGAACTCTAGATGCTGGCGAGGATGTGGAGAAACGGGCACCCTCCT